AAGGTTAGCATAAAATATAATAAATATAATAAAATTATAATTATAATAATAATTATAATAATAATAAAATAATAATTTAAAATTGTTTTTTTATTATATTTGTATTACATAGTTAATAATTCAAGAATAATGTGTAACTAAGGATAATAATAAAAAAACAATTTTAAATTATTATTATTCTATAAGTAATTGAGTGGGTTATGATAAAAAAATCACTCTGTATATGCTAATACATATAATTCATCTTTTAACATTCACACTTTTTGAAAATACTGACACGGTACTATGTTTCCCTCAGCCGCACATCACGTTATCAACTTTTGTTAATGTGTATAGGATGTGAATCATGAGTGTCGGTGGCCTAGTGGTAAAGAGTTTGTCTCTACGAAGCTTTGGGCCGCGGTTGTTAACCCCATAACGTAGGACCTTTTTCATAAAACTTCCGGTTAATTTTCTATGACCGACCGTGTCAGTACTTTCAAAATATATTTATTATCATATATTCATATATATATTGTATTTACATGGTGTTCATCGTAATTGACTAATTTGAATTTTAGTCTATATAGTCAAATTAGTTAATCACGGTAGTACACCCAGTATTATACAGAATAGTATTTATTTTTCAACTTCATTAATTTTATTTCACTAGCTTAAAATTTTGTTAGATTCACTAAAAAAATAAATCTAGTAAAATTTGAGCACAGTAAGTTCTAATGTGACGTCAAAAACAGCTATTATTATAGTATTTGATATGAAAAATAAGGTTATTTATTATTTTTTTGTAGAGTTAATAGTTTTTCGTGAAATTAAGAAAAACTCATCTCATCTAATTTTAGGAAAAAATAACTTGGTTTATGTTTTTCTCTTGTACTATCTCAAATATTTTAGTTATACTAAAATTGTATAGAAGTAATATTATTAACTTCATTTCTATACTACACATGCATTCTGAACGGCCTCATTGAAATTGTAACAATAAAAACTGTTTATTTTCATTCGAGGTCTTTAATTTTGTATTAAAATCGAGAGAATATTGTGTAAAATTACACGCCTTTCTCAAAATAGTTAAACATTCATCTATTACCAAATATGCGCTTTCATGCAAATTTAAATTGACAAATCACATATTTTAAAATAAAATATTAAGGCAATCTCTATTAAATAGCAAATTAGACCCCTTAATTTGATTTTTTTAGTGAATCTAACAAAATTTTAAGCTAGTGAAATAAAATTAATGAAGTTGAAAAATAAATACTATTCTGTATAATACTGGGTGTACTACCGTGATTAACT